ATGGTATGCTATCTTCTGTTAGTTAGACTGACACAGTAGGCAAATATTCTAGTCACTGCACTAACTACCATTTCTCTCTAAAACCTGAAAATGTTATGCTATCTTCTGTTAGTTAGACTGACACAGTAGGCAAATATTCTAGTCATTGCACTACCATCTCTCTCTAAAACCTGAAAATGGTATGCTATCTTCTGCTAGTTAGACTGACACAGTAGGCAAATACTCTAGTCACTGCACTAACTACCATTTCTCTCTAAAACCTGAAAATGTTATGCTATCTTCTGCTAGTTAGACTGACACAGTAGGCAAATACTCTAGTCACTGCACCACCATCTCTCTAAAACCTGAAAATTGTATGCTATTTTCTGTTAGTTAGACTGACACAGTCCACACTGCATCTAATTGTATGACAATGCCGGCCTAATTCCCTAGTGCCAAAAAAAAAAAAAAAAAAAAATTAACAGAAAACTGTTAGTTCTCACATTCCTAATTGGCAACTGAAATAACTGTTTACAGGTTATATTAAAATAATGTAAAATTATAATAGATTTGTCATGGTGAAGAAAACAGTAAACTCTAAAACAAAAAATGTATTCACAATATACAATAAAGTAGAGAGGCAATGTGATACAGCTAATCCTCCAGAACAGTAGATGGATAACCAATAGTTGTTGGTACCAAATAAAAGGTCAAGTAAATTAACAGGTGACAGCTTTCCATCAGATAGAGAACTAATAGCAATTGGACAAACAAAACTAACGGCATCAAATAAAAATACACACAACCCTACCACCACTCTACCACAGATATCAACCAATAGTAATTGTCATTACAATATATTCAACAGCTGTTACTGTTCAGTAGATGGGCATCAGTTCATAAGTTCTCTCCAGTATGTCAGCAAAAATATTTCACAAGGATCTATACTTAGAAGCAATTTTTTTAATAGATAAAGAATCAATAGATATTAATCAATAGATATTACTTTATGCTATATGCACAACAGTTTGCCATAATCCAGTTCAGGATTGGATGGTTTGGATTATCTTCTTCTGTCTTGTATCCCTCTCCATCAACTGACACCAAGCCCTCCAACCTTTACCAAGCTCCCCTACCTTTACCAAGCCCTCAAACCTTTACCAAGCTCCCCTACCTTCACCAAGCCCCCCTACCTTCACCAAGCCCTCTGACCTTTAGAATGCCCTCCAACCTTTACCAAGCCCCCCTACCTTCACCAAGCCCTCTGACCTTTACCTTGCCCTCCAACCTTTACCTTGCCCTCCAACCTTTACCAAGCCCTCCAACCTTTACCAAGCTCCCCTACCTTCACCAAGCCCCCTACCTTTACCAAGCCCCCTACCTTTACCAAGCCCTCCAACCTTTACCAAGCCCTCCAACCTTTACCAAGCCCTCCAACCTTTACCAAGCTCCCCTACCTTTACCAAGCCACCTACCTTCACCAAGTCCTCCAACCTTTACCAAGCCTTCCAACCTGCACCAAGCTCCCCTTACCTTTACCAAGCCCTCCAATCTTTACCAAGCCCCCCTACCTTCACCAAGACCCCTTACCTTCACCAAGCCCCCCAACCTTCACCAATCCCCCCCTACCTTCACCAAGCCCTCCAACCTTTACCAAGCCATCCAACCTTCACCAAGCCCTCCTACTTTTACCTAGTCCTTCAACTTTTACCAAGCCCTGTTGATCACTCCATGCTCAACCTTGATTATTGACCTTTATCTTTAAAATCGTACGCAGGTGCGTATTGTGTGTGCATTTTTCTTTGTATAAGACAGCACCTATTTCTTTTAGCCTAAAATTAGGAAAAAGAAACGTTTCAAGTTTAAGATAATCCCCAGTTTCAAACTTAATTTTACTGGAAAATATACATTCTTTCTTTGTCTCCAATTATTTCTTTAGCCCCTGTGAATTCCAGTGCAAGGATATTTTAATTAAACATTACCCCCGTTTCTCAGAATGTTTCCTATTCAAATGCAGCATTTTTTAAACCACTTCACGCAAAACTAAAGTTTTTGAACTAGACTGAAGTCCAAAAGTGGACAATATACCAGAACTATGGGCCAGAGATTATAGCTGGCAAACGCAAAGAAGAAGATTGGCTGAAGCTTTATATTAGCCATTCTGTTGTGCATTTAATTCTTCCTTTTCAAACACTAACACTTCAAGTTTCAACTAATATGGAGAAAGTGTATGCTCCTACCTCAATATAAGATTAATTTTCTATTATCTTCATTGCAAAAGTTAAAACTAGACATCAAAAGCAGTGCTTTCTGAATGATACAGTACAGTCACAAGTTTCAGTGAAAATTATCTATACATCCCTTAGCAATACAATTCACATTATCTGTTCAGTTGTTCTTTGTGTCATGGCTTTTTCAAATGTCACAGGTTTCTTTATGTTTTTATAACAAGTTTAACAGTTATCACATACAGATAGATTCCACACGTAAAAGCTCCTTAGAGCAGTTTGTTTTATTTGCTTTCTTAATAAGCATCTTTTATAATGTCACAAGTGGGTCTAAAGAAGAAAGAAAACAAATTCAAACAAAATGAAAATTATGTCTGAGAAAATATAAACAGTGCTTTGTAAAGCAGAAACGAAACTTCGGCATTATAAACAAATATATTTAGAACAAATAAAATGCAAAAGGCTCAGAACGGAAAAAAAACTGTGCAGAAAAAATTATTTTATATACATAGAACTTACAATGATTGAAAATCTGGTATGCCAGACCTACTTAAATTTAGTGAAAAAATATTCTTAAAATATAGTTGCCAGAAAGAGCTACTTTAATCTGGAGTAAAATATGTTAATAGAGAGTATCCAGCTAATTTTGAATACCATTAATTAGCTACTGCTATAGGGTAATGAACACTAGAAACCTTGGAATTAATTTGTTCAAGATTACATATGCAAGCAAGTGTATAAATATAAGGTAATATGAAATTTATTCTGGTAATATGATATGAAGACAAGTTTTGGCTGTGTAGTCAAGCTTTGTGAACACGCGGTTTCATTTGAATGCTGATAGATTCATCAACTTTGGATAGATTTCATGATGATTTCCAGTAACAAATCAATATTGTAACATATTAACACCGAATATTTCCAACAATGAAGCATTACTCAATTTCAACTTACCAAACAATTCATCATAAATAAACAGAGTTGCTGTGACAACATTCAAGATTTCTTAAAAAAATTATATACAACATTATGCAGTATAGACAATCTTTAACCCACTCTAACCAGTTTTCTGGACTAAAATAAACCTCCATTATTTCAACAATAATTATGTTAATGAAATTGAGTCTTAGAAAAGGTCACCGTAATTTTCGCTGTGACAAGTTAACTAGCACTCATTCCACTCCCACAGACAAATAATAATAATAATAAAAAAAATAAAAAAAAAAGATATTTTCAACTCTCTTATGCTTGTACATGAAAAATATGATTTGCATATTCATAACACTCCGTAATTTTGCTGTGTAATATCTGATGTTTCATCTTTATGTTAAAAATGAAGTAATTCCTCACATTTTCATCTAAAATAACCTCTGACAAGTTATTTTATATTTTACTTTCTTATAAGTCACAAAAAATTGATAACTGCTCAAATTTGCTTATGCTTAACCATATAAGCCCCTAAATAATTTACCTTCCGAACAACTCTACCAATGACAGAGTGAGTTTCTCTTGATGTATTTTTTATTGATCCACTGTACCATGTCCAGTCATTCTCCTCATTTTGTCTCCACTGCTGAAAAAAATGATCATTCTATCTTGTTCATTACTTCCTCTTTTACCACTATGGTTGTCCTGGGAGATATAAGGTCCTGCTTCATGTTCTTCTGGCTGCTTAGACCACAGACACACATCATGGAGCTGAAGAGTTTCTCTGATGTTATCTTTCCATTTTGTTCTTGGTCTCCCTCTTGCTCTATGTCCCTTTCCTCTTTTGGTATATGCCTTGTATGGTATAGCATCAGAAGGCATTCTCTCCAAGTGGGCAAACCATTTGATTTGCTATCTTTGTTTGTAATTTAGAATTGGTTCTGCACCGACTTTATCTCGTATGACCTCATTCCTGATTTTATCTCTTTTGGTCACTCCTACAGCCTTTCTCAGACACCTCATTTCTTTTATGTTTTGTTGTGAGTGACCACGTCTGGCACTGGTAGCATAAGGTGGGAATGATTATGCTTTGTTTGAGATCTCTCTGTGCTGACCAATTAACTTTATGATGGTCACCATTTAAGCAGGAAAAAATAAACATAAAAAAAAAACAACAACAGAAAATATAAATCTTGTGGAGTCAACAACCTCCCCCTTCCCCCAACTTCCAAAAAATACATGGTTTTCTTTGAATAAGCCAAGAAAATAGGGGAAATTAATCCCATTTACTTTGTAAAGTATAAGACAGCGTAAACTAAACTGACCCTGTCATTGGTAGATTTGCAAGTGAGTTCTCAAAATAATTATTTTCATTCAGCAGATAACTAAAGAAGTCTGCATCTCAAAATGAAAAAGAATTTCATTACCAAATGTGTTATTGGTAAACTGACAGTGGATCTTTGAATTCTATGTAATGTTACATAAACTCATCATTTGTATTTTTTCTTTTCTATCATTCTAACAAACATCAGTTAATCAGAAGCAAAATCAGTTATAATCAAAACCATTTCTGAAATCTTGCTGCCTTGTTCATCATTGTTTGGCGCATTCCTGGTTGCCAGCTTGAATTCCTGAATATAGGGGTTATAATTAACCCAAACTGTTGTGAATTTTTCAGGTCAAAACAAAAAAAAAAAAAAAAAATGCGTGTTTTTTCACGTTTGTCCGCCATATTGTTCAAATAAGAAAACAGAAGTGATCACAATTTACTCAGCTTTCAATCTCTTCAGGTCATTAACTTCCATAAATACTGGGCTGTGTTTGTCCTTGAATACAGATGGTACAGAATTACCTGGCAACATCTTGTTATACTGGTGAGCTGATGATAGCGTGGACACTGGTTTTGACCCTCCCGTGCGGTTTAGGAGCTGTTGCCTGGTTGTTATTGTGGCTGCTGCTGTTGTTATTCAGTGGTGAGGGTGTTAAAGGATTGGCAGGGTGCGACAGAGAAGGAGAAATGACTTTACTAGTGGATGATGATGATGATGATGAATATGGAGCTGACGAACTTGGTGATCCTGCAGCTTCTCGTCTTGCTGCTTCTCTGGCCTTGAACTTCATTAACCTCTGTTTATGAGCCTCTTGCTGACAGTGGATTTTGAACTCCATGATAGTGGAGAAGCGCTCGTTACAAGCTCGACATTCATACTGCACCTGCTCTAATTTCATAATCGGCTCAAAACCTTTGGGAAGAGAAGAGGAACTGGCCATGCAGACCGATCGCTGGTGAGCAATGCAGGATTCCCTCGCAGGGTACACCATTTGACATTTCTTACAGATGTATCCAACATCCAATGTAGCTTCTGCAGCGACAGTGAGATCTGCTGTGCTGACAATGTTATGGAGGTCAGCTAATGCCTGACAGTCCTGAGTGTAACGAGCCAGCACGGCTCCAGCTTCAGAGAGCTTGTCGCTCACAGATTTAATAGCTGCACCTGGAATTTGTAGTAGAGTCAAAGGAGTCCCAAAGACCAGTGGATCATAGGCTAGCATATGTTCTGGAAACAGATTGAAACATTATCATCAGGTTATGAAAATCCTTAGTTAAAAATTTGGAAACTCATATTGTCAAGCCATGTCTAGGTTTTTATCCCTTTGTTTTACAGTAAAATATTTTGTAGAATAACAAAAACAATACAGCAAGTGTATTGACTGGCACAGTTGAGGGGATAGCAAGTGTGTTATATAGTAAAATATATAAAAGTATTTCTTGAGGCCTCAGAGATGTGGTTTTACAGAAAAATGCTAAGAATACCTTGGACAAGCCAAAGAGAGCAACCAAGAGGTTTTGAAAGAGGCAGGAGCCCGAAGACAACTTATCACAGACATCAGAAGGAGACAGTCATCATTTTTCAGCCATGTTATGAGAAGAGGGAGAATAGAACATGTTGTGACCACTGGAAAGATCTGTGGAAGAAGGGATAGAGGAAGACAACGAGAGAAGATTCTTGACAGTCTTGCTGCATGGCATGGAGGTGTGTCGGCACACAAACTGATACATGCTGCAGGAGATCGTGGATTATGGAGAGGCATGATCGCCCACGCCAGTCGGCAAGGCACTTGATGATGATGATGATGATGATGATGATGATGATGATATTAAAAGTGATAAAATAGAGGGTTTTGAGACAAGGTTTTTATAAAGTTATATACACATTCACCCCCCCCCCCCACCCCCCCCCCCTTACCCACAATGGACTGTTAGATACATGATGCTGGTGTTGCTGTTATCACTGCCCTAACTAAAACTTCTCTGGAGACTGAACAGGGTATCTGGGATCTACCATCCAGATTTAGATTTTAATTTCAGGATGGTGTGGTAAACTTTTAGGTAGCAGTCCAAAGAGGACACACTGATTAATCGATCTTGCTCTTTTCTTGGTCAACTTTGCTACCGGTCATTAAGTTTTTTAAGTTTACTTTTTCTGATAACATGTCAAAATACACTAAGTCTATTTTCTTGTCTGTAAAGTACAAAGTTTTTTTCTTCTGTTTGGTTCTACTGATTTGTCACACATAGTGTCAGCATAACATTTGGGAGGTGCCAGGGGTGAAATTGTTCATTTAACCCATATGTTTATTTCATGGAGGCCTCGTTCAGCTTGTGAGAGCAGTTAGGAAGATTACCGAGGTTTGCCGCTGCATTTGCAGAGTTCATGCTTTGAGAGACACTCCCAAAAGGTGGCCAGCCATTCAACAGACAGACCCAACCATATGGTGTCAAATCTAGTTCAATGAAGTTGATCTTGTTGACTTTAACTTTCATTTATTTCTTATCTTTAAAACTGATGTTCCCTTACTAGTCTTGCATACCCCATTAGTTTGGTACCAGGTTACAAGAACACACTTCACACAACCTTCAATCTGATAAATGAAAACCTTTTCAAGAACTTTCTAACTCAACTTGTAACTCAGTCTTACAGAAAGTACATCAAATTAGACTGTTACTGGTACAATTAGAATCTGCTGAAGATGGGGAGGGAGCACCTATGGAAATGTCCTCAGTGCTGTGAAGTCAGTTCATAACTTAGCTCAGCTTGGTCTTGCAGACAGTTCATAACCAAGAAATCATAGGCAACAACAGCAGAAAAAAATTCCTAAACTGAAAAATTACCTGGCATAAGACCCGACTGCATCATAGACAATCCCATTCCTGGAAAGTATCCAGGGAGACCGCCATACATGTAGGACAAGTATGCAGGGTCAAGGCCAGGCATGTAGCCTCCGAGAGCTGAAAGCATCTGGGCATTCATTGTCATCTCCATAGCTGCGTGGGCTTGCTGCTGTTCATCCTTTGTGTTCAATGCTGGGGAAGCAACAATGAGTCAGCACATTACTATGCAGTCACTAAAAGAAAAGAAAAAACCCTAGGGAAAAAACACAAACTCTTTTATTTTCTAAACAGTTGCTTCTTCAACATTGTTCTACCCCAAAGTGAATTGCTTTTAGAGCAACTTTTAGAGTAAGGAAACTGAAACAATACAATTATGGGACAGCATGTGTTTAGGAGCTGATGTGATTTTGATCACACCGCTATTCGACGGCCAATTGGTCTATTAAAATATAAGTCTAGCCTCATATTCCTGAAGTACCCTCTGTTGTGTAAAGGAACATTAACTTTTAACTTACAAGTGTATATACCAGCTTAGGAATGAAAATGGGTTTAAGCAGAAGAAGAATAGCACAGTAGAAGCTAAATAATATACCGGAGAGAAACTTGCAAATGTCCGGTGAGTTGTTTGCTACGGAAAGAGTTCAGAAATGGATCATGGTCAGTGAGCAGAATAGTGAAACCTTACGTGGAAGATGCAGAGATGTGGCTTTTTTAGATGAATAATGAGGAAAGCATAGACAGATAAAAACAACAGTCATAAAGATATCTTGAATTAAATAAACTTACAGACAGAGACAGAGAGAGGGAGACAGAGAGTGCAGGGGGGAGGGGGAGACAGAGAGAGCGGTGGGGGTTGGGGATAGACAGAGAGACAACTGTATCAGAAAGAGACAATCCAAAAACTAGTCACGTCACGAGAAAGCTAAAATAAATTGTGACAGTGGAAAGGTTGGAAGGGATAAGAAGTAGTGAAATACCAAGAGAGAAGATGCTGGACTGTTTGGCACTATAGTATGGAAAATCATCTGCATCAGAAACAACTGAAAGTACATGAGAAAGGAGGCTGTGGAAAGATGGCCGCCAACGCCAAATGACATGGACCATAAGAAGAACTAAGCAGTCTTAAATCTTTGAAAGAAAAGGTACTGCAACAGCACAGTTGACCTTTAAATGGGTACAGTGCTGACCTTTGACAGAAACATTTGTGACCTTTAAATGACCTTTGAGAAGTGCTGTTATGACCTTTAAAAAGACAGATATGCAAATCATTCTTTTTTCCCCCAGCAATCTGAGGGAGAAGAAAAAAATAAATGTTTTTGTTTTCTAGCTTGCCTAACACAGAATACACACTACTAAAAAAAAAAAGATGCATTTTTTTTTCCTTCAACATTATATTTCCCAGCAATTAATACAATTGGCACTGTTTAATTATTAATAAAACGCACCATGGATTATTACTGCAAACAAATGTTTTCTTTTCCTGCTTCCTTTATGACCCAATGGAGCAAAGGCTACCAACCACTGGTGCCAAGCTGTTCTACCCCCTTCCTTCATTTGTAGCTCGCAAAATGTCCTCCCAATCTATTTTTTTTTCTTTCTTATACTTCAGTTTCCTATTCTCTTTTCCATTTTTCTTTCTTATACTTCAGTTTCCTATTCTCTTTTCCATTTTTCTTTCTTATACTTCAGTTTCCTATTCTCTTTTCTGTTTTTCTTTCTTTATTGTTATGTTTATTTTCATTTCTTAGCACTGTAGGTTAAAGTGCAAAGAAATGTTTTATCATATCTATGAGGCTTTATATATTTTTATCCAATCCAGCGCCAGGATTTTTTACATGACCACATCACCCACAGAGGACTAACTGGCCCATATAAATAATGGGCCTAGCATCATATGTCCAATTCTCCACTGGCTAAAATGGTTCCTTTTCTTGTTTAATTTACACACACAGATTCAAATCACATCAAAGGAAATGGTAAACAAACTTTTTTTTTTTTTTTTAAAAAAAAAAAAATAAAAAAAATTTTTGGTTAATTATAGTTTTTCTCACCTTCAGATTTGTTCTCTTTCCTCTGTGACTCTTTATCCTGATTTTTACCACTGCTCTCTCCTGAGATGGCGGGACAACATATTGTTAGCAACAGTTTCAATAAAAGTTTAAAGTATTTCTCCTTTACATTTATACTATCTTCATTAGCAGAGCTGATGGGGAACTGATGTATTCATGTTCTCTTTTTAAGTATTTATTTATTTATTTTGTATTATTACTTCTTCTTCTCCTTTGTTCATTGGCTGCAAGCTCCAGTGGAAAGTCCTGGTTGTTGTCCACTTGGACTCTGGCTGTATTCCAGGGCCTGAGTTTTGAATGTTCATGCTCCCCGTGTGGGTTCCGGGGCCCTATTATAGGCAAAACAAGAATGGACCTACTGCCTACCAAAAAGCATGCCGTAAGAGTCGACTAATTGGGAGCTTTAAAGTCAGAGTACATCTGCCTGAGAGGCAAGGAACCAGCAGTCTGTATACAAATAAATCAGATCTGTAAAACGGATGCACACGCAACACTCAGGTTCTTGAACAGGACTGCAGTCCAGAAGTGGATAAACAACCAGAACTTTCTGCCAGAGTTTACAGCGGGTGAACGCAAAGAAGAAGAAGAATGTACATCCATTTTACTGGCTTTTTTGTGTGCAGTTTGTTGTCCCTTGTTGCTCTGGCAGATGCACTCCAACTTTAAAGGAAGCTCCCAAATAGTAGACTCTTACGGTATGCTTTTTTTTTAAGGTAGGCAGTGGATCTATTCTTGTTTTACCCACAATGGAGCCCCGGAACCAACACACTGTGGGATTTTTTTTGAAAAACCCAGCTTCACTAAACAAAAACCCAAGCAATACATAGACAAAGACCCCCCCCCCCAAAAAAAAAAACCCCAGATTGTTAAAATGTACAAAATTTATAGTTACGAAATGAAACATTTACCACTTTTATATAAGGATTTATTTTTAAAATAACCCAGATTTCCCCAAAGCGTCAAAAAAAAACCCCAGATCTGGGGGGAAAACCCAGCATTGGCAGCTCTGCCCACACAGGGAATAATATTATTATGAATACATTATTAAATTTATTCCCCAGTTAGAATAACAATTATTATAATTATTATTATTATCTATGCGAAACAGTTTTTAGGCCCTTCTCAATGTTTTCTTTGTCAGCACCTCCTACTTGCATGTAGTCTTGAGGCTAGTAAGGCAACATTAGAGAATGGACTATAAGAAATAATGGATCAATGATCACACACATTATTCTGCATATCCTAGACCACTGGTGCGCTGACCCCCGGGATCTGCAGATCAAAACTGTTAGGGATCTGTGATATTTGAAAAAAAAAGTAACAACTCTCAACATTTTTGTGTATGTCTGTGACATAGATTTACTCCTATTAAATTTTTTTTTTAAAATATGACTGAAAATTATGAGGTCTATGGTAGGGCTTAGAAGATAAGAGATAGTCCCTGGGTCTCATCTTAAGTGATAACCACTGTCCCAGACCCTAACATAACACAGTTATTCCAGACACACACATATACAAACACAGAGATAACTCCCCGAAACTAGACAACACTGATTGTCACTACTTCATTAATTTCATACAATCAATTTCCTGTGCGATATCACAAAGGTCACCAGCTGACCTTTTATGCATTGACAATATCAGTTTTAATAGCCATATTTTCCCATCATTACCCCAACATTATCAAATTACGAGACATGGCCAACAATTTTCCACATCTTAAAATTTCAGTCACAAATGTCAGTTTCTACAAAAATCAAAGCGTAAAATGTTTTTAGTTGTATCACATGGCATTTAATACTTCTTTGCTGGTTACACATTCTTTTCTGTGTGAAATAAAAAAGGCCACTTTTAGTTTAACTCCTGGAGGCATCAATTTCCTGTCTTTTATTTATGTCTTTCTTCTTCTTCTTCTTCTTCTGTGTCCATTGGCTACACACTCTAAACAATCCTGGTTAGTCATTTGTGTCTGGACTTCAGTCTTGTTCCAGGACATGAGAGTCCTGTTATACAATTATCACAGTTGATGTCACTGCACCTAGGCATTCCAATGTATGCTCAGTCATCTCATGCAGGAGCCATTCCAAGGTACTTCAACTATGAGAAATTGGTTATGTCTCCTGCCTTGGTCTCAAAGATAGCACAGTCATGTTTCAGAGTGCACGTCCAAATTCCTAATTAGTAGATATCCAGTAAAGTAAAGGACTCCTTTTTCACCCCTTTAGAAGGCTCATAGAAGGCTCGACCTACATTTTATAGACAAACTGGCACTTGGTTGGTAACATGGTCAGCATCACACCAGCTGCCTTTAATTCCCAGAACTTTACTTGGGCCAACCTGGCAGCCAAGGTCATGTTTTTGAAGAAAAAAAAGTCCAACTCTGTCAAGACCTGAACCCATGACCTTCAGATCCACAAGCAAGCGTAGACATCCACTGCTGGCCCTGAATACTTTATTCTGATCTTGAAGAGTTTAATTATAAACAGCTTTTAAAGAATAACATACAGAATAATTAAGATGGAGCTCACAATATATATTATTATAGACAATTAAGTGACTGCTGCAATCTCAATAAATCAATCGTCATCGCGCCCAGAGGCACAAAGGCAGAGATAAACTGTCACCACTTAATTCAAACCTGAGCCTTCCTCTCTAACTCTAGTTTTGTCATTCATGTAGCCTTGAGTTCAGCCTGAAAGGTTCGCCTTCCAAGTGCCTCTGAGCCTGCCTCTAGCTTGCTGTCCTTGCAATGTCCATTTCATTGCCTGTCTTGCCGTCTCTTTTTCTTCATTCTGAGGATGTCCAATTCACCTCCATCTTAGTTTTTTTTTAAATTTCTAAATTTACATCTTCTACGTCTGTCATTTGTTGTAATCAAGAATTGCTGATTTTAGAGAAGTGACTGCTGCAATCTAAAAATCCTTCATTTTATCCAATCAAGTCAGAATTATTAAACAAAAATGTAGACATAAAAAAAAAATCATACTGTGTGAACGACTACTAACCTGTATTGAGAGTGTACCCTATGGTAGAAGGACTGATTCCCATAGCCTGAAGCTGTGCTATATGGCTGCTGGATTCATCCCACATCTTGTGAACCCGCTCGGAATCCCCTGAGATCGAGGTACACTAGAAATGCTGCTGCTAGATACCTCAGGGTCTCGATCACCCTGAGCGTTGAGGAATGCCTTAACCCTGTCAATATGAGCCTTTGTGAATATATGATCTTGTACCTGTGGAATGAAGGCAACAGAAAAATGGTCAATGAAGAAAGTATGTTCAATTACTAATAATGGAATTTGTGTGGTGGCATGGTGGATTGTGAAGTGGCTAAAGAAGGTTGAGGTCCAGGTTCAAATAACTCTTTGAGTCCCAGGGGGTTTAGCATCACAGGCCCAGGGGTAGTAAAGAAAGTAATAAAATCGGCGCATCATGTGTTCATTGGGCTTCTAGGTAGGAACCTATGAACGTATGATGCATTCCTTGGGACTCATAGAGTTAACATTCATGTGCGTGGGAGATTTGTTCAACAGCATTATGTTCTGAGGATGTTGTGGTGGTGTAGCTGCCAGTATACTCGGATACCAGCCTGGTTGACATGTGTAAGAATGATACACACATTTTATCAGGGCTCATGGGGACCAATAATTTTTTAGTGAAGTGTATTTTGTTTACAGACATTTTTGTTTAGAACAAGCCTTTGTTGCACATGACGATTTTGTTTACATATATAGTAGTTATATTTAAAATGTATTTTGTTTACAAACAAGGAACAACTGGTTCATAAAACGATGTGTTTTCACACAATTTATTACGTAAAGGGATAAATAAAGTCCAACTTAAAGTGAGAGTGAGTGAGTGAGTGAGTGAGTGAGAGAGAGAGAGAGAGAGAGAGAGAGAGAGAGAGAGAGAGAGAGAGAGAGAGAGAATGCAATTAGTGCAGGGAATAAAAACTAAGTAGGATGATAACGGGTGGGAATCATGGTTTAAATGAACCCATTGTGCTCATAATAAGAATTTAAAAAAAAAAAAAGGAAAAGGGCTAATACTCTTGTCAACAGAAGAGAAGATCACTCTAAGAATCACATGTGACTTAGAGTTTCTACTGCCCAGACATGTTAGGGATATTTCTGGGACAGATCCCAGCTTACAGATGAGTGATTTGTTATTTTTGTTTATTATTGTATTACTGTCCGTTTGCATTAAATGCTGATGATAGCTTTTTAGCAGGAATGTTTGCTTATTAATTCATAACTTGGATAATATGAAGCTGACTAGTTGTACTTGGTGATTGGTTTAATATCTTTCTATGACACTCTAAAAATCAATTTGCTTGGTTTGAGACCTTTACATGATACTCTAAGAATCAATTTGCTTCATTTGATACCTTTCCAGGATACTCTAAGAATCAATTTGCTTGGTTTGATATCTTTCAATAATACTTTAAGAATCAATTTGCTTGGCTTGATAACTTTTTATGATACCCTCAAAGTGATCTGCATTAGCGCAGTCGATAGGAGGCCCACTTTCAAATCCAGCTGTGACTCACTGTGGCCATGGTCAGTGTTCAAAACCGGGTGGTTCCCGGGGTTCACCCAGCCTCTAGGAAATGGGTACCAGAGTTGACACTCTGGGGTAAATGGAGGATTGTTGCTGTAGCTACGGAGTTACATGCGGACGGCAACACAGGCGGACAGTTACTTATCAGCTGTGTGTACTGGTGGCAGAGCACTTATGGTTTATAACCGTGTGCAATGACTTTACCTGTTACCATGATACTCTAAGAATCAATTTGTTTGATTTGACAGCTTTCCATGATACTCTAAGAATCAATTTGTTTGATTTGACAGCTTTCCATGATACTCTAAGAATCAATTTGCTTACTGCTGCTACATTTCAAGGAGAGAATTCCATGAAATGCAACTTCATATAATTAACCCATGTGATACATCACTGTATTAAAAATATATGCATACTTTTTATTTCGTTATATTTAAGAATATGAAAGAAAGACAATTGAAAGTTAACTGCAAGAAAAGAGAAAGGACATCAACTAACCGTAACTTTATGTGTATATTTGTAGTTGCACAGTTTGCAGTCCTCAGGAGATTTCGGAAAGTCTACTTCCGAATTAAATAGTTTCCCAGAATTCAGCTTGGCTTTCTTTTCCTTAGCTCGGGCATTCTGAAACCACACTTGAACGACTCTCTTGGCCAGGCCAATCTCTTGACCTAGAAGCTCACACTCAGCCATCGTTGGGGTTTTATAATCCTGGAACAGGTGTTTCATCACCTTGACCTGTTTGGGAGGTGGGTGAGAAAAAAAGAAAAAAATCTTATTCTTCTGTCCATCACCGTTTGATTTTTGTTTCACACCTTCAGAAGTCAAATTGAAGACACTGAAAGAAAGTTGCAATTATTTGAAATTGTTGATATCTTCCAAGAATGTGCTTTGAAGTGGAACTGATCTAGGTCAAAAGTGGTTTCTGTTCTTTACATCCAGCATATGTGTAGTTGTTGTTCTGTCAGTTCCGAATCCATCCGTAGACTGGTGTAGATTTTCTTCATCATCTTAGCGTTCATTGACTGGCAGAAAATTTCAGGGTGTGAGTGTTGCGTGCACATCTATTTGACAGATCTGGCTTACTGTGTGCAGACTGCTGGTGCATTGCCCTGAATTCGAAGGAAACACTGATCCTATCTTATCCGCAGTAAAGAAGCTGTTTCTATGACGTCCATGTTGAATTAAAAAATCGACATCACAGCACTTGGGACACTCCCATAATTGCTCAGTCCCCATCTTCAGCAGCAAGCGAAGAGTTCCAATTCCGATAGTACCAGTAACTGTCTGACTGAATATCTGTCTTCTCCTTCCCCTGAGTGTTGAGCGTCGGCCAGATTCCCTGGGAACTCCTCGCAGGGCTATTCTCCTCAGACCGTAATGATCTTTCTGCGCCTCCGCACTGTTCACCCGTTCCAAAAGGGCCCTCACAATATCTAACTTGCCATACATCAATTCACCACCAACTGGTTTCAGAGCCAGCCAGTCTATCTGCCTGTTCATTTCCCAACACATAGCCTGGAGAAAATATCCAAAGGATGTTAACTACCCGGAGTTAGGACGACCATGGAGTTGTGTAGGTAGGTCGCGACCAGCATGATTTCTAGCCTTAGTGCATCACTTCATGTGATGCAGCACATGAAATTTCCCTACTGTGTGAATAACATGGTCAATAAAACCATCTTATAATGTTAGCCTTGTGTGATGTCAATAGATTAGTCCTCACTATCTGGCATCTGTGGCTTAGGCATTGTGAATGCAGGTTCATAATCTTGACAGTCAACTGCAGGCATTTTGATAATAAATCCCTTTGTGTTGATTATGATGATGACATGAGCTTTGTAAAATTCTGAAAGCAAGGACTACTGAAAGCAAAACTGGGCAGTAAAACCACACAACATAACTACTCATTTAGTTCATATTGTATTGAAGAAAATATGATATCCAACTTTTTTTAAAAGCATTGCTTTCACAGTAAAAAAGAAAAAATGATAGTGCAGCTCTGTCTACCTTTACCACGACATGCTCCTATTTTTACACTTTCTCAGATTGCTTTTTATCCATCCACTTGTACCACTCTCTATTTCTTGCTTACCTATCTTCTACTTTTCATTTCCGTACTTCTATTCAGCATTTGGTACAAAGCTCGGGGATTTAAAGCATTTAAGAATGCAATGGAAAAGAGAAGAGTAAATGAACCAAACTCACCTGTACTGCCGACATCTGTGTCCTGTAGCGTTTGCCAGCTCCGCAGGAAGAGTTTGCGCTGTGATGAGGCCCGTTAATTGAACGAGATGGAGAGGGTGGGCTGCTTCCGATATCATTCATGTATTCATGGTCCGCCATTTCCGACTGAGTTTCAGAAAATGAGTCGTCCATACTGCTCAATCGTCGGAGGTAGTCCATCTCCACTGGTCGTTCATTAAAGTCCAAGTTGCCGGAGAAACTTGAGCGCTGAGGTACCTCATTAACTGTGTCAGAGGCTGGAGGTTTTATAGGCTTGCTGAGATCTAGAGGGGCATCTTCACTTGAGGGCACTGCTGGTGGTGGTGGTGGTTGTGAAGTGCTGCGGGGTTTGTGGGCATCAAGGGGTCGTGTGGTGGAGATGAAGCTGGTTACTGCTGGATTAGCTGGTGGTTTATGGGTAGAGTGAGCAGAGATGGCAGGGGGTGCTGACAAATAACTATGAGATGGTGGCCCTGAAAGCTCTTGTCTGGCAACCATGCTGCTGGCCAGATCGCTCATGTACTTCTTAAAGAAAGGATCTTCAAAGGAAGGATGTCCAAGCATTTCTGGGGCAGGTCCTGGGAAAGGTAGATTAAGACCCCCAGAGGACAAAAAGGCCATGTAGTTGGGCATCGTAGATGCTGCCCCGTGTGGTAGAAGCTTGCTCAAGTCAGCTGTTGTATGAGCTGATGATAGACCATGGCCTAAGGACGTTGGGAGTGAGCTGTGGACATGGCTAACTGGGGGTTCGATTACTGCATCTGGAATTAGATCAATGTTTATATCTCCTTTGGCCATTTCCTCGGGGTGTTTTGTTGCTAAGTGAGATTCCAAAGCGGACTTTGCCCGGAACAAGGCTCTACAAAATGGACATCTCTTATTGATCAGCTGCTGGTGAGCTCTGTAGTGACCCTTCCTCTCCCTGGCCCGAGTGTTCTGAAACCAAACTTGGACAACTCTCTTTTTCAAGTTGACCGTATTGGCAATATGCTCCAACTGTTTTCTGCTTGGGTTACAATCAATCTGAAACAAGGACAATATGAGACTGTAAGCAGAACTTTTCAGTGCAAAGATAACTAATTAAACATAGGAGAAACAGGAACCACACAGGGTAGTAAAACAGCAGAGCTCATAGTAGTCAGGATTCATCTCCATCTCTCCACAGTCGTCTTAGAAACTGGTTCCCTACTAGGGGGCAAACAACCAGAACTTTTTGCCCAAGTTTACAGCCTGTAAGCGCTGCAAAGAAGAAGATAAGGAAAGTCTAGAAATAAATACAGGCAATATATGGAAATCATTGTAAAACAAAGAAGATGGAAATTATTTTGGACACAAACTGAGGAGAAACGAGCAGAGAATCACCAAACAGGTACTGAAATGGGAAAATAGAGGGATTGAGAAAGCAAGGACGCCCCCCAAAAAAACACCCTAAAATTAACTTTGATGAATGAGGTCAAAACATAACATTACATAACCCTTGACCAATTAAGGTCATGGAGGTGTAGTGATGGAAGCACTAGCACATAAAATCAGCCATCTTCTGCTTGATGAATAAGTGTATGATAACTTAGTCCTGTCCATTTCTTGATGGTGTCATTCCAGTTTCTTCTTTGCCCTCCTCTTCTTTGTTTGCAGAAAACTGGCCATGTTACTCCAATATGTGCTGTTTGGTTGCAGAAAACATAACCCTTATAACATATACTTGAAACGTTTTAGGCATATAAATGCGCTTAATTAATTTGTTCTTTCTAGGCTTGCAGCAGGCTGAATATTCATCATCTATTGACTCTGAAGCAGCTGCAACATAAATCTTTCTGTGTTGACTGAAAGACTTTCTGTGTTGACTGAAGGACTTTCTGTGTTGATTGCTAATTACTATATACATTGTGCCTTTCAATTTATATTTGTTATTTCTGTGACACAAATTATATTTGAGAATCAGGGTAGACTGTGTACTCTCCATTTAACCATTTTCAACTTCTTCTTCTGCATTCACCTTCAAAAAAGTGGTTGGCACACTGTATTGTGGTTTGACAACCAGGCTGTAATATTTGCACCTTTGAGCCCAACATAGTTCAGTAAATAGCGAATTAGCCACATTTTACAACATGCACGTGAGGGTGGCGGTGGAGGGGTGGGGGGTGAATTATTTTTCTTCCCCAAAATAAGACCTCAACACCCACTTGGGTAATTAAGCTAATTAACTACCAGGTAATTCAACTGTTTAACTAGCAGGTAACTATTTAATTACCAGGTAATTTAACTATTTAATTACCAGTAAATTTAACTGTTCAATTACCAGGGAATTTTACATTTTAGTTACAGGCTGTCGAGATTTTTAAAACATTTCTGTTTCAGGGTTTGTCAATATCAAGCTGGTTGCCTTTGTTTCTTTGAACATTTTGCAACAACTATTTTGAGGCTGAGTTGCCCTGGAAGCTGCAGGGTTTTGTGTTGGCCATGTCGGACGATGGACGATTTCACCGGCAAATTGACACTCTGCAGTCAGACACAGGGGATACAACCCAAGATAATGAGAAGGAAGTATTTCATTTTGTCTTTGAGTATCCTTTAAATGTGAATGCTTATCTTCATGTGAGTGGGTAGGGGGGCATGGGGGTCGGGGGAGGGGAGGGGTGGTAGACTCACTGCTCCCTTAACAAGCACGCTGTAAAAGGCAATTAATCAGCGGTGTTTCCTACAAAGTCAAAGTACATCTGCCTGACGCTGAGTAACAAACAGTCTGCATACATATAAGCCAGACTTGTAAAATGTAAGTAAATGCAAAACTCAAGTTCTAGAACAAAACTAAAGTCCAGAAGTGGATGAACAATGAGAAATTTCCACCAAAGTTTACAGCTGGTGTACAACAAGAAGAAGTATATTCTTGATCATCATCAATTCTCTTTATGCCTAGTGGCACATGAGGCTTCAGAGAGGACTTTCCATGCTTTCCTGTCCTGCGCAATCTTCAGTGCAGTTTTCCATGTCAGAGATGCCACACTCAGGTCACTTTCCATTGTTCGTCTCCATGTTGTTTTTGGGTGCCCCTTTTTTCTCTTTCCCTCTGGTATCCATGTAAGAGCTGTTCTGGCAGGTATATCAGGATTCATTCTCATAACGTGGCCAAGCCATTTCCATCTTCTCTTGGTTGTCATACTGTCTAGAGTTTCTTGGTTTGTGACTTGAGGTATTTTAGTGTTTGAGATTGCATCTGGCCAGAAAATTTGGATAATCTTACGGAGACATCTGTGGTGGAAGATGGACAGCTTGTGTGCATCCTTTTTGGTCATTCTCCAGCATTCAGCTCCATAAAGAAGAACTTGAAAAAATTATGCTCTTCTAGAGCATCATGTTGCCAGTTTTATGATGGTTTTAAGATAGCTTTATGGTGGTTTTTTGATGGTTTTAAAATGGTTTTATGCTTTATAGAACATCATAAAACCTATACCAGCATTTCTTGGGTGTTGGTACAACAATGATAATAAAATAACAGAAATAATCATGAAGTAACAGGATAACTGATAATAAAGTAACAGAAATAATACTAACAATAAAACAACAACAATAAAGTAACAAGCGTGATAACAGGGGTAGGAACAATAAGACAACACACAAAAAACATTGAAGTAACGAAAAAAATAGCAATGAAGTAACAGAAATAAAAAAAGAAAAAATAACTGAGGATAAAGCAACTGAAACAATAACTGATAATAAAATAACAGAAACAATACTAACAATAAAATAACAACATAATGACTGATAATAAAATAATAGAAACAATACTAAGAAAAAAATAACAAGACCATAACTGATAAAATAAAATAAAAATAACAATACTAACAATAAATTAACAAGACAATAATTGATAGGAAAATAACACAAACAATATTGACAATAAAATAAAACAATAAAGTAACAGGAAGGAAAGTGGCAGCAGCAGCAGACGATGGTCATACCTGATACTGTTGGTACAGGTAATCAAGCTGTTCAGGTAGAATGGTTGTTCTCAACCTCTTGTCTCTCGGCTGCTCTCCGCTCTCATCCTCCGAGTCTGTTTTCCTCTTAGACGAAGGTGTGGGTGATGTGGATGTCGGAACCTGCGTCATGATCAGGGCACTTGGCTGACTGGATGGCGGCGACACATGCATGGTGGCTACAGAAGGCAGCAGTGACGAAGCGGTGGACATGACAGTCAGGGGCAGGGCAGCTTTATTGTCTTCCTGGTGTGCCAACGTCTGCAGCATGCCAAAGGCTGAGCTGGAGGAGAAGGGAGTGTATATGGCAGGGGCAATACTGTGGGCTTTCTGATGCTCCTGCCACATGTCAAACCTGGAGAATGTTAGGTTGCATGTGTCACATGTGAAAAATGGGACTATGGATGAGGATACTGCTGCTGCTGCTGATGATGATGATGAAGAAGATGAAGAAGAAAGTGATGTTGTGACTGGTGCTACAGATGCGGTGGATACCTTTGTTGTAACTGTTGAAGAGGCAGAGGACAATAACTCTTGAGGTTGAGTTCTTGAGGGATTTTCTTGGAGCTGATATCTTGACTGAGATAATAGTTCAATGGGTTGAGAACGAGGCAGCACATCCCTATCCTTGGTCCCTGACAAGGGAGTGCTTTGGCGTTCTGAAATAATAGAATCATCGTTGGAATAGCTGAAGTTGCTATCATCTTCTGTTAGCGATAGAATTGGTTTGTTATTGTTAGATTCTCCTACACATGAACTCTTCTGATGCTTGATAAGTTCGTAGTATCGCTGGAATACAGAGTTGCATTTCTTGCACTGATAATTTTGTCCTGGTGTTCGCTGGAATGGACTCACAGAGTCTTTCACACTCTCAGCGACAGGCTGATTTTCATAAATTTTTCTGGCTTTTTGTCGAGCATTCTGAAACCACACAACAATGACTCTGGCACTCAATCCTAACATCTTGGACAAGTGTTCAAGTTCGTCATCTTTCGGGTAAGCATTTCGTTCAAAATAATCTTGCAGGGTCTTTATCTGGAAATCGGTGAACCGTGTTCGGTTAGCTCTCTTCCCCATGCTCTGGAATGTAGCAGCTTCTAGTCGGGCTATGTTGGCAGCGTAGGCATCCAGAGAAAACGTGAGAGGATTTGCAGTGTTGATTGGATTTGTGCTGATCATCGGTGTTGGTGTAGTTGGACCGGATGCTGTAGGTGTAGATGGAATGGAAGACATTGAGGGTGATGAGGAACTGGAATGGCTTTCTGGATCTTTCCTCCTCTCATCAAAGTGTTCTGCGCTTGCTGACAAATCAATTTTCAGAGGAATATTCTCTAACATTTCTGTATCCTGTTCAAAAATTTTTTCATCTGCGTTTTCTTCTGCCGGAACCAGCATCTCTGTTTTCACATCTACTACCATGTTTGTATCACCATCATCATCTTCTTCAGGCTCAATTTTGATTTCCGGAATTTTCCCAGTCCTGTCATATTCATCCAGGTCAATCGATGTTGAAGGTGGGTTATTGAAATTGTATGGGGAATCCTTATTTCTCTGCCTTTCCTTGAACAAAGTGTTTCGGAACCAATGCTTGATGACTTTCTGAGGGAGACCAGTCTGGTCAGACATCTTATTAATTTGTTCCTCACTGGGAGAATTGTTGATGTCAAAGTACTGGCGCAAAACTTTCAGCTGGTCATCACTGATACGGGTTCGAACTCTTTTCTGGTTCTGAGCTGCTACTGCTGCTGCTGCAGCTGCTTGGAGCTGTTGTTGAGAACTTACAGATCCAGCTGAGTCAACAAGTGACTGTGATGGCATCTGAGACAAAAATCCAGAACCTAAATCCATTGGTGACATCATCAGCGAAGGCATCAATGAACTTTGCAGACCAAGATTCACCAGGTTCATAGACAAATGCATTGGGAGGAGGTTCATACTCATAAGAGGCAACAGTTGGGACATGTCATAGTTTGCTGACATTTGTGAAGAAGGAGGAGGAGGGGGAGGAGGCATTTCTGAAGGTGTGACCTTTTCTGGTGCCAGTATTGCATTACTAGGTGAAGGTGGCGTTGGTGACGGCTGAGGAAATGAAACTGTTTCATGTTCAACAGGTTTTGGCAAATGCTTCTCCCAGCCTTCCCGGAACTTTTGGCCAAAATCTTCAATGACCTCTGGCGATACAAAATTGTTATGGACCTCTTCCTCGTGGTTCTTCAGCACCCAAACGTTAGAGAAATCTTTGTGACAAACTGTGCACTTGCATTTGTTCAGCTCCGGTAGATCTATATTCTCTTTGTTTTCATCTTTTCTCTCATCTTTCATTTCAGATTCATTGTCCTTCAGCTCATCCTCCTTTGTTACATTTTCTTTATCCTTGCTTTCATCATTATTATCATCTACTTCAATTTTTATATCTTTATCGGGACTATCTTTTTCTTTCCTCTCCTCTGTATTTTCATCCTCATCTCTGACATCCTCCTCCCTTGAACATGTTTCTTTTTGTTTGCCAGTGTGCTCTTCATTAAAATGCATGACACATTCAAAGCCAAAGTTTTCCAGTAAACTTCTATGTAGCTGGGGCTTAAACCTGCCCATAAAACCCCGTGGCCTGGCAATTATTGGGGCATGGAAATTTGGAGGCAGATCGTCGTCTTTTCTGGTTGATTTACTCTCCACTGAGCTTCTAGCTTCGGCTGCTCCTGACACAGATCTATTTCCAGTTCCAGCAGGCTCGATTTTGCCATCTTGTTTAATAATCATGTTGATGATTTTCTCTGACTCAGAATGTGAACTGGTCTTAGCTGATTTCTCTTTAGCAAACTCTCGTGAGGACTGAAGTTTGCTGCTGTCCGACCGATTTCCTTCCTTACAGAACTGGGAAGTGATGGAGGAATAGTATGCTTCCAACTGGGCATTAGACATGGCAGCAAGAGCATTTTGCTGGGATGTCATCATGTAAGATGGAGGGGGTGGAATGATACCCAAGAGGGAGAGCTGCGTCATGGCATTGATACCCTGAATATTGAAGTAAGAAGCAGCAGCACTGGATGCCGCTTGTGCTGTAGCTTGTTGATGAATCATATCAGCAATGATTTGAGCCTGCTGTTTACCAGCAGTTCTAGGGTCTGGATGTTCAATCAATGCCTGATGAACGTCCACCTGTCCAGTCTGGATGAGCTCTCCAAGCTTGCTGGCCTTCGTTTTGTGTCCAACTGATCTTAAGTGGATCTCAATACTTGGCTGATTGTTGTAACTGACCTTACAGATGTTGCATTTGTACGGCTTAATGCCGATACTGCTTCCAGGGGTAGAGTCTAATAATGCATTGTAGCTTCCATTTGTGAGGGATGTTACGGATGGCGAGTTCACCTTTGGGGAACTTGTGAGAGGTGGTGTCAGTTGGGACCCTGAAGAAGCTAGAGAAGTGTCCCCATTAATCTGGCTCTGCTGTTTTATCTTGTGTAGATGAGAAACAGAATTATAATGAACTAGAAGCAAATTTTTGTGTGTGAAAGATTCCTTGCAGATGTCACACCTATAAGGCCTGGGCAGATCATCAAAGTTATCTGGAAACTCATTCCTCCTGTGCACCGACGTCTTGTTATGAGCAAACAAGTAACGCTGGTTTGTAAATCCCATTCTACATTTGTGACATTTAAATTTACGATCACTGCTCTTGTAATGCTCTTCGGCCATCGACTGACTGTTCATATAATCTTCAAAAAACTGTTTGTCATTATACATCTGCTCCAGGCCACCATCGCTCTCATCCATATACTCCTCATCTCTTTCGACATTATCTTTCATTTCTAAGCCATTTACTAAACTCTCCTGAGTTGGTATAACCTTTTCGGCATGTGAGATGCCATTTCTGGACTGCATATTCCCACCGGCCTGCAGCAGTCTGGAAGTAAACTGCTCATAAACAGGACTGCTAAACAACAGCACAGCATTCGCTTCCATGCTCTCCATTTGCTGGGTCATATCAGCCAGACTCATATCTCCATGTTCTATTTCCAGATGCCGCCTCATTTTGCTCACAGAGTTTGCCTGTTTAGAACACACCCTGCACTGGGTCACCGACTGCATCAGATGAAAAAGTGTATGTCTCTGCATGACCTCCAGGCCTTTGAAGCTAAAACTACACTGCCCACATTTGAATTTGTACAGTTCCAACTCCTGCGGGGACAGAATACCCACTGAGTTTTTTTTGGTGTGGATCTCCCTGAAGTGAACCTGTAGGGTGGAGGCTGTTCTGAAGTACTGATTGCAGCCTTTCTTCCAACACAGATATCCTGGGCCTCTTGGTGTCTGCTTCAGCTCCAGGTGTCCCAGCTCGTTCTGGTGACTGTACAACTGGTCAATGTTGCTGAAGCTCTTGCTGCAAGTCTGACAGCGAAACAAGTCTTCGTATTCTTTGTCCAGTTTCTCCTGAGCAGCCAGGTCCACTCCTGTAGACAGATAAGAATGGCTTATCACTACTACTGCTTATCAATGTACCACTCTAACAAGAAAAAAGCAGATTCTTGTGCATACCAAACAGGTGGGTCAACACTTTAAAACTTAGGTGGTCCCTGTAAGGGTTCACAGACAACTAGAACTTACTGCCGGACAACTAGAACTTACTGCCGGACAACTAGAACTTACTGCTGGACAACTAGAACTTACTGCTGGACAACTAGAACTTATTGCTGGAGCTTACAGCCAAGGGGCTTACAGCCAGGGGGCTTACAGCCAGGGGGCTTACAGCCAGGGGACTTACAGCCAGGGGGCTTACAGCCAGGGGGCTTACAGCCAGGGGACTTACAGCCAGGGGGCTTACAGCCAGGGGGTTACAGCCAGGGGGCTTACAGCCAGGGGGCTTACAGCCAGAGGGCTTACAGCCAGAGGGCTTACAGCCAGGGGACCTACAGCCAGGGGACTTACAGCCAGGGGGCTTACAGCCAGGGGGCTTACAGCCAGGGGGCTTACAGCCAGGGGACTTACAGCCAGAGGACTTACAGCCAGGGGGCTTACAGCCAGTGAATGTTAAGAAGAGGAAACTCTTGTGTGGGTTCCAGGGCTCCATCAGTTTTATAAAAAGGGGAAAAAGGGGGGGGGGGAAAAAGCCTCACTACTGCCATTTAACTCGGTGTTTTATTAATATCCTACCCCAAACAGTGGAAATTCACAGGTCATGGGACAGTCTAATATTTCAGGGGGTATTAGATAGACTGCATGCAGTCGTATGACGTAGGTTGTATGCAGTCGTGGGACCTAGGTGGGTTGGGGTTAGAGCCAGTTCTAGATGTTTTGGGGTCATTAAAAGCATCAGAAAGCCGGGAAACCCAGTCTTACCACCCTCTAAAATGTTGGCCTGTCCGGTGATGTCAGATGGGGTTAGGATATTAATAATGCACCCTTAACTCTTGTTAACCAAGAAGTTGTTACAATAAATCATTCCATTCTAGAAATTCATTACTTAAATCTCTCAACCTCTGAGTCAGTTGGAATGATAGCATTATTGAACAGGAGGCCCCGCTCCCTCGTGCTAGCATAGTTAGCTAAACCTGACTTCGTGACCACCTAGTGAAAAACTAATTGCCAGGTAGGCAGAAAAGCCACATTTCTCCCAGATTTAGGGTATTTATCATGGAATCAAGGTTGAAGAGTTGGGATATCCATAGTACCACCCGAGCCAAAGGGTTAAGAACTCATGGTTTCTGGATATTCACACAAAAATGAAACATGATAGGTACTGGGACACTGTGGGTGAGTGTAACAACTGGGGTCACAAGAAGTTCACAAAAGTAGACCATGTCAGCTGAAACCAACCAACAAAGGTATGGTGAAGTATGTCATATTCTTCTTCTTCTTCGCGTTTACCAGCTGTGGTTGCTCGTCCACTACTGAACTGTCATATTAAATACATGAACAGAGTAAATAACAGACTGACTTTTACTAACTGACCTTTATTTAAAAAATAAAGAGACTAGCAGAGTCGTCTTAACAGTATTACGGGCCCCTGTGAAAACCAGTGTGCTGAAACCCTCCAGGACTATCACTCACAGGAATGACATTTATATTTTGGCAAGTCACTTGACATACAAAGATTATCATACATATAATAAACAAACAGACAATGTATTGATCGGCACTCACAGAAAGAAGAAGAAAGGTAGAAGGACACATATTAGAAAACATACAAATTGAAAGCTATAGTTACCATGTTGTGTGAATGTCATACACATATTAGCAAGGGGTTACTATGCTCATGGGGCTGATATGTCCGTGAGACCCCAATGTATGTGAGACCCCAATGCCCCTGCTTCCCCTCCTCGGCCAGTGCCCTTTGCGTCTATGCATTAAGAAGTCAAGCGATTGGAAGAGATACTAGACAACATTTCTGTGTATTTAGTACGTCCTCGTATCCACCTCCCTCTTTCTATGAGTGTAAATCAATACATGTCAATTTGCTTATCATGATGTGTCTGCGACTTTAGGGGTCCCCCACCTGTTTATGCATGTTCCCCTTGAGAGGCATGTCGGGAAAGGCAAAAAACTGTGGAGTTTCTGGAAATGAAAGAGAGAGCTGATGAACTAGCTAAGGAAGGTGCAAATGAAAAACAACCTGTCGTACAAGTCTCTTATAAACAAAAAGAAGAGAATAATCAAATCAATTTAAAAAAAAAAAAGCCACCAAAATCGCAACAAGACGATTATTTTATGGACAGACCAGAGCAAGTTATTAGTCTACGCCTTAGAACAGCCCAAACACAACACATCAAGGCGACTCTTCTGGCCAAGAGAAACACCAGAGCAGGTCAAACTTTAGGGGTCGATGAGTGAATTACAAAAGACAGTGAAGTTCATACTAGAGACAACATTGTATATAGGGTTAGTTGCATATCCTTTACAGGACGTTGCAGAACCAACCCCAACAGCCCCTGGCTGTTGTGTGGTTTTTCTAGGTAAATTTACGTCCAGTAGTTTGCCATTACTACTGGACGGTAGCCTTTCTTGATACCACTATCGAAACCAAAGCAAGATGCATGGCCCGCAAACATCACAGCATACCAAACAACCGAGCGCGCCCTGGTTCGGCTACCTATCGTCCATTAAATTGCGACCCCTGGCGGCACAAAGCAGATATCGATTTTTAAAAAAAAAAAGGGGGGGGGGGGTGGTTCCTCGGTGACTTTTAACCCGCTCCTTAATTGAGCGGTGGTTGTATCAAGTCCGTGTTTACTTGCTGACTTGAAGTAGTACTTATTTGCTGAGGTGTTTGGTTACGCATGGAAGTCCCCTTTTCCTTTGTGGGCCATTATTTTCTTTTGGCGTAATGGTACGCATGGCGAGTTCCTGTTTTGGACATACACGTCACTGGTTTCTGAGCTGGTGTGGTTGACCATCTTCACTAGGGTTTATATATGAGATTATGTATGGATTATTCAGGGTGTTTGCAAATTCTCACTACACCTTGTTGTATGCACAACAAACCTGAACAATGAAACACACGATGTTCTTAAAAAATTTCCTTAAAGGTAATTAAATGAGTTACAAAAGTCGCTGCTACAGTATAGAGCTGTTTTTTGAAAGTAACAAAGAGATATTTATTACAACAGGTGTTAGAAATGCACGGGCTTCAAGACATGACCATCCGTGTGTATCGACCGCTATTTCGAAACTCTTGTTGAACCAAAAAACTTTCTTCCGTTAAAAACACATTCTGTTTGAGACATCCATTCACTGCGCATTGTTTCCTGACTTACTGTGGAGCATTTGTTTAGGGTTAGGGTTGTCTTTCACATTTATTCTGCTTACAAAGTTTAGTGAAACTAAACAGTTTAGTAAGACTTTACAAACACCCTATTTTAAGAGCGCCCAGATGATGCAGCTTATTTTCGGATGAGGTTTTATTTTTGGGCAAACACTTTAAACAGTGCACACAATATGTTTGATTCTGTTTTTTTTTTTTTTTTTTCAAAAATGTTTTGGGGTCCTCGCTGGTGCTTTGGAATCTGCGTTACATTTACTGAAGGTTACTTGAGCGCTTTATGCAGATGTCTATTAAATTAACTCTTTACTAACAAAAACGGTGAAGAATATCGTGATGATAGTGATGCTCTGCCTTTAACCGTTATTTTCGCATGTGCTACATTGTTAGTGAACTGTGTTGTGATTCTCACTATGTGATTTATAGAAGAATGAGACCTCACGGATACACCTGAACGCATTTTGAACTATTCCTTTAATAAAAACGTAATCAAACTTACTCAAACTACGTGATTCAGAATTCTTAGCACTCCTAACTGGCAAAAAAGAATTACTTACTATACACGCAGATGCGAAAAATAATTTTAAAAAAACGAAATGTGTCTCTGCTCTGCTCGCTTCTCTGTGTAATTGTTTCCATTTTATATCCAAGTCAATCAAGTAGGCAAATGCACACATTTTTTTTCTTATTATTTCTAACATCACTGCCATGCCTCGAGTGATGGGGTGTCATAAGTTGACATGGCATAGCTGGAAAGTTGCTTTCCCCCGCCTCCCAACATGGTTGTTGCACTATTATTGTGTCGAGAACTGACGAAAGGATAGATCGCGACTTTTGCACACAAGAAAAAAGTCAATGGTATTACCATTAAGTCACGTGTTTTTTTCTCAGGTTCCCGAGGAAAAAAACGAATCGATGTTTAATCTCAGGTTTATTTACATTGATTGTTCCCGGCGTTTTAAATTTCAAATTTTCCGCTGTTGAACTTTCTTGTCCAGATTTGTTAACTGGAGGAACATGGAGGAACGTGACACTGAGACAAGACGTCCGCGCCTGTCTCGGGCAAACCAGGTACAACTGTGTGTGTGGTTGATATTTGCCTGGGTGGGATCCTGAAACACTTTGGGTAGATTTTTAACTTCAAATTTTGCCCGGGCAGCGCCGTTAGGCTACTCTTTTCGATTTCCAATAGCCAAGGAATTTTTGTTTACGTGCGCAACAATGCACACGGGCGTCTGATCTCACTACCAGAGACCAGGGGGAATTACTGGTAGTCCAAATCCACGTGAAAAAAATCCCAGCCCTTACCGGGGATTGAACCCGGAACCTCTAGCACACGAAACAGACATCATGCCTCGAGACCACGCAGCCGAAGCATATAGATACGTTGTTAATATACCGACCGCTCCGTCATTTCCGACAGCCTAGCTTTTGGTAAAATGAATATTATTACATCAAAATACTCTGACATCATAACCAGACCCACTAACAGGCAGACCAACGTAAGTCACCAACTGATACAGTCAGCGGATAATATGAATCACTAGTGGGTTTAATCAACATCTAAATAAGTCACTATCTGATACAATCAGCGGATAATATGAATCACTAGTGGGTTTAATCAACATCTAAATAAGTCACTATCTGATACAATCAGCGGATAATATGAATCACTAGTGGGTTTAATCAACATCTAAATAAGTCACTATCTGATACAATCAGCGGATAATATGAATCACTAGTGGGTTTAATCAACATCTAAATAAGTCACTATCTGATACAATCAGCGGATAATATGAATCACTAGTGGGTTTAATCAACATCTAAATAAGTCACTATCTGATACAATCAGCGGATAATATGAATCACTAGTGGGTTTAATCAACATCTAAATAAGTCACTATCTGATAACAATCAGCGGATAATATGAATCACTAGTGGGTTTAATCAACATCTAAATAAGTCACTATCTGATACAATCAGCGGATAATATGAATCACTAGTGGGTTTAATCAACATCTAAATAAGTCACTATCTGATACAATCAGCGGATAATATGAATCACTAGTGGGTTTAATCAACATCTAAATAAGTCACTATCTGATACATTCAGCATATAATATGAATCACTAGTGGATATAATCGACACCTAAACAAGTCACCACTAGACACAATTACCATCTAATATGAATCACTACTCAAAACATCAACATCTAAATAAGTCACCACTTGATACAATCACCACATAATATGAACCATAATTTGATACAATCACCACCTAATATCAACCATGATAATATACAGTCACCACATGATATGAACCATGATTTGATACAATCACCATCTAAAATGAATCCTAATATGATACAATCACCATCTATATATGCGTGACTATTAGAAATAATTAGATGCTCGTCTGATATCCAAGAAAAAGTACGAGTAGGAGGAAAACGAGGGGGGAGCAGCAGCAGCAGCAACAGAAGAAGAAGAAGAAGAAGAAGAAGAAGAAGAAGAAGAAGAAGAAGAAGAAGAAGAAGAAGAAGAAGAAGACGAAGAAGAAGAATAAGAAGAAGAAGAAGAAAAAGAAGAAGAAGAAGAAGAATATTCCTCCTGTTTCTGCTCCATACAGGGGTACAAAATAAGGGTAAATACTGAATATTCAATGTAGATATAATTTAGTTTGACTTTACAGATTTTCCAAATACAAAGACAACATGTTGAAGACCCATCGCCGCCAACCTTCATTGTATAGACGTCACCTGATTCGTTGACCGTCTAGTATCCTTTCTATATAGTCGAGTTTGGGTTCTCGAAACAAACAACTTTAATAAATACAATCTACCAATAACAAACTCGCCATTTCTTGCATTATATAGCAGTCATGAGATAGGCAATGAACTAAACGGGTTTGACATGCAATTCGCTAACAACTGAAAGGACAAAATAAATAAGTTTTAAAAAAGCACTTCAAGTAATCGTTATCGAAAGAAAAAAAACCGAAACGTTTTGTGTGTGGCAGATGAGTTATTTTAAGTAGGTCAAACGCATATAAATGGATTATAACAGATAGTCTCTAGCATGAAGAAGGGTGGGGATGCGAACATTTTAAGGAACTTGATTATAAGTTACGCCTTCTAGTGTCAATCAATAGAGAAACAATTGCTAGCAGACTCTATGTTATTTGCTAGAAGCAAGGTAGAACTATTATGGCAAATATTGCGACTTCCAGGCCTATCATTGGGTGATTGTTGCCGAGGTACTGGGGGAGATTTCTTCGCATCCTGACTTTCTCCATTAACATAATTATCAATGGCGTCACTTGCAACATCATCAATGGCGTCACTTGCAAAATCATCAATGCCTCGAACCGCAACAGGGATAGGAGAATTATCTAGCTAGTATTAAGTATGGAAGCTGATGGTGTCACACTGCAGCAGTTGCCGGTTGGCGTGTCGCCAAGATTTATCCAGGTTTCTGGTGTTTGGGAAGCTAAAACAATTTACGGCAGGCTGGCTGGTATATTAATAAATCTTGTTTCTAATTAATGAACGTCAAAGAGTTTTTAAATATCTCGAACGCTTATTTTCCAGGCAGTTTGTTTACATCTTTTAACTTACACTGGTACCTCGGTATACGCCCATTTTCTAATAACTTGGTAAAGGTCCTGTTCAGACGCGCAGAAGTTTGCTTTATATATGACCTGTTTCCAATACGACTTGCACGCTAGAACTTGTATGCGTGAAAATGAGAGAAAGGTCTAAATGGGAAGAGGGACAACAATCACCCCCTCCCGATTGCCGCCCCTCTGCCAGAATTTTAAATTCCTGAAGTTTTAGCTGACTGGGACTCTCCTTCCAAACATCATTTCCTTTTTCAGCACCATCCTAGCAGACATTTGACCCTTCTCAGCAAGGTAAGGTAAAGTTCGATGTTAATTAATTTCGTCAAACTGTTTTTGCATCAAATTAGTGAAAACTTATTTGGAAGCTGCGGAGATGTGGTTTTAAAGACAAATGATGAAAATACCCTAGACAGATAAAAAGAGTAATGAGGATGTCTTGAAAGAAACTGGCTGAGGAAGATAACTGATTTCCTACATCAGAAAGAGACAATATTCATTCTTTGGTCATGTGATGAGAAGGAGAAAACTGGAGTACATCGTGACGGTAGGAAAGCTGGAGTGGAGGAGAGGCAGGAGGAGACCGAGAGAAGATGCTGGACAGTTTGACATCATGATATGGAGGATCATCTGTGTCAGAGTTGGTTTAAAGTACACGAGGCGGAGGATTGTGGACAGACATGACTACCAACACCACACAGAGTGGACTAAAAGGAAGAAGAAAAACTGTTTTTAAAGTCCTCTTCTTCTTCGCGTTCACCAGCTGTACACTCTGGTGGAAAGTTCTGGTTGTTCGTCCACTTCTGAACTGCAGTCCTGTTCCAAAACCTGATTGTTGCGTGTGCATCAGTTTTACATATCTGATTCACTTGCCTCTCAGGCAGATGCATTCCGACTTCAAAGGAAGCTCCCAATTAGTCGACTCTTACGACATGCTTTTGTGTAGGCAGAGGGTCTATTCTCATTTTCTCCACAATGGAGCCCCGGAACCCACACGGGGATGTTTTTAAAGAAAAGGTAAAGTCTGGAGATGTGAACCAGCGTCATCGCACATGGTAATTAACCATAAGTTCTCTGCCACCCGTACGGACAGCTAATAAGAATTGTCCGCCTGTGTCACCCGTTCGCACGTAACTCTGTAGCTACAGCGACAAAACTGTTTTTGTTTCTCGCATGTATTATAATATTAAACAGTGTTTATATTATTTTATGTGCCCTGGGGTCGACCCAGCCGAAAGTGGGTACAAAGAAATGTTCTGGATAATAAATACGGCTGGTGGGATGCTGACCTCGTCATAAACTGGACGGTCAATAAATATACGACTATAGCACCATATTTCCCATTGTGGTAATGGCAGGAAAATGGGCCTTTACATTTGTTACAGGTAATAATGAAAGTGGTGCTTACCTTCGGAAGCCAACAGATTTGCATGTTCTGTTTCAAGGATCTGTAGATTGATCTCCTTGTCTTCGTCACTGTGAGACAAGATCAACGCTATTTTGTTGTCCAACAACGGGTTTTGACTGGATGATGAGCTAATAAGGGAGGAGCTAGATGTCACGTGTGCTGCAAAGGGCGTGACTGGAGCTGTTGAGCATGGTGGCGATGGTGGTGACCTGGTGGGCAACAGCGTGTCCAGGTTGTATTGTCCAGTAGAGAGAAGTGGCTTAGGGACAGAACAGGACATCTGGTCGTCTCCGTTCTGTTCTGGATTATTGTCAACAAAAGCTTCACTCTGGGACACCGTCTGTGTACTAGGTCTTCTGGATAAAACCGCTTCCGAATTCGAAGCAGCACTTGCAGATGGAGTCGCTTCTGGCGATAAGGATATAGAAGCTGTTGCTGTGGTTTTGTCGACAGCTGAGTGCTGGGTTGGTAATGACGATACAAAGGACTCTGAAGAGGCCATTGACGCTGGCATGTCAACCATGGACATAAGACGCTGAAGACCTTCCGAAGCGACGTTGTGTTCCTTAACAAGATGACTCTCCAGCAATGTAGAGTCGGCGCACTCATGCCTACACAAGGGGCAAAGAATGCATGCTGCAGCCCCTTTCTTAGACTCAAGTCTTCCGACGGACGACGATGACGTGAACTTTGCTGCTGGGGATAAAGTTACGTTGACACGACAGTCTAAGAAGTTGGCTGTGACGTCGTTGCCAGTTTCGTCGTGTTTTGTGCTGCCAATGATGTTGGTGGCCTGGTTGATAGTCAGTTCCGGACGAGGCGGTGATCCAGAGTTCTTTGCTGAGGCTGATGACCGCGTCACTCCTGGAATAACAATAATTACTAAGTTACATATTGACATCAAACCCACCCACATGCACTACAGGTTACTTACCTCGTTAGCGTTTTGTGATGCCAAATATACTTTGCTGTATGGCTATATCGTTGGGTCAGATCCGTATGGAGCTGTAATTTTGCAAACATAACTTTGGCTCCAAAGTCGACGCAGCTTTAAACGAGTGCGAGGTAAAGTCCTGGGTAGTAAAGGCGGCTGGCGTGATTCTGACCACAGATTAATCTACAAAAATATGTCTACGCCTAAAATTCCCGATATACCATTGGCGTGTGAGAGGACATTATTTGACTGTACGGTTGAACTGGGTTTCCGAGATTCGTCGCTTTTCGATTTTCGACAACATCATTACGCAAATTCAGTCATCAAACGACTGAAAACACTCCAAAGAAGGGTAATAGCTAATAATCATGAAAGCGACTGTTCCCATCTATATTATGGCCACTATTACCGCTCCAGGAACACCTACTATTCAGCAAAGTCAAACTTTATTTTAAAAAATATCTATCCAAAAATGTTCCAGTTTACTTTTAGCCATTTTGGTAAATATATTGGGAGGCATAGCAAACGCTGTTATACATTGCATATCTCTAAACCTAATATAGACCAGCACAAGCTTGGCGTTCTCTGCAGCTCAGATGTGGAATCAACTTCCACGGGAAATCAAAAATACCATTAAACCCTATACACACAATCGGAAACTATGTGAATATTATCTCACTACAGACTATACGCCTCCTTAAAAGAGTAGTATTTTAAGCATGTGATGTTTTCCCTTGGATGCTTTTTTTTTTTTTCACTGAAAGTTATTACTGTTTAAAAATGAAGGTGCCGGTCAAGAGCATTCGAGTTTGTAATTAATTTTAACTGTTGTTGATGATGTTTATATTATACAACCTATTGGACAGAAGATTAATGGATTAAGTTCATGGTTTAACCCCAGCTGCGGACGACTATCTTGCGTTGGTTTCAACAGTGGTACCAATAGCCGACCGTTGAGTGGCAATGGCAAACTACTGAACTATTATTTGCCTAGAAAAACCACAACAGCCAAAAAAAAAAATTTAAAAAAAATATGCTGGTGTTGGTTCTACAACGTGCTGTAAAGGACACGCAACTAAATTATTACTATACTTTTTTAAAAGTTCACTGATATAAGTATAATTAGAGTACATTCCAGCGTTTGTAATTAAGACAGATGTTGTGAAATACTTTCATTTAAAAATATTATTAATTATGAAATGATGTACGAATGAATAACTGTATGCAAGGATTGGACTGGAGTGGCAGAATGTTTGACGGGCCTGCGTTCCCAATTCTCAATCCTTTAAAAATAAAGTTTGTTTGCTTGTTGGTTTGTTCATCCTTGAGATGTTGCTCTGATAGAATGTTCATCTGGATCAGACAAACTTTTTGTTTACAGGAGCACGGGCACATTTGTTCATTCGTTATTTCATTATAATTAAAAATATTGACATCATTCAGGTCTAAATATCGAAAGCTGGTGAGTGGGGGAGGGGGCGGAGGTCGAGGGGGGGGGGTGGCTTACTGAAAATACTTCACCCCTCCCCCCCCCGTAAAGATCACGTTGCTGTGGAGTTGGTTAGTTGCGCATCCTTTACAGGACGTTGCAGAACCAACCCCAACAGCCCCTGGCTGTTGTGTGGTTACTCTAGGCAAATTTACGTCCAGTAGTTTGCAATTGCCTACTGGACGGTCGGCCCCCTGATGGTTCGCAGCTGGGATCGAACCTGGCACCCCGGCATTACGAAGCGTTCGCATCGACTTAGCCACAGGGCCGACGCTGTGGAGATAACAGACTGAAATATCTAGCTGCCATTATTTACAGTTTGTTTTTCCCCAATTCTTCCAATATACTACCAGGTATTATAAACATCCCACTGATTTACGAAAAATAGTAATTATAGCTGCGGTTCGTGGGAAATAAGGCAGGAGTCGATCAGCTCGAAGGTGGGCGCAGGGTGTAGATCGCAGAGACACACAGGGAAATATAGGTTAGTTGCGTATCCTTTACAGGACGTTACAGAACCAACCCCAGCAGCCTCTGGCTGTTGTGTGGTTTTTCTAGGAAAATTTACGTCCAGTAGTTTATACAGTGAAAACAAAATGAAAAGGAGTTTGTACGTTTTCGGGGTTTGTGTGGTTGGGAGAGGGTTAGTTAGTTAGTCTTTCCTCTTGTGTCGAGTGCGGCACATAGGGTAGAGGTCATGACTCTCCATGCATGGCGGTTCGTTGCAATCCGTTGTAGGTCTTGGATGTTTGAGTGGCCCATGAGCGAGCCTTCCCTGATGATAGTTCTACGTAGGGTTTCCCTTGGTCTTCCACGAGATCTTTTCCCCTGTGGTGTCCAAACGAGGCCTTGGTAAGGAAGTCTTGATTTATCCATTCTAAGGGTGTGGCTGACATAGTTACAGCGGCGTTTTCGTATAAAATTAGACATATACTCTTGCCTGGATTCTTGCCTTATTTGTGTATTGGTTCAGAAATCTGACCATTTGAGAGGGTAGAACAATCTAATACTAGTTATAAAAAAAAAGACTGTTGGTTTCTGGACTTTCAGGCAGATGCACTCCGACTTCAAAGGAAACTCCCAATTAGCCGACTCTTACGACACGCTTGTTGGAGAAGCAGTGGGCCTATTTTTGTTTTCCCTATAATGGGACTTCGGAGCTCACACGGGGAGTTTATATATAGTTAACAAGGGTAATTACTAAACAGTGTTAACAAAGTTCAGGGATTTTAAAACAGATAAGTCTTCCTTCTTCCTCTTCTTATTTCAGCTGCCCTAAAAGAGAGATCAAAATGCGTCGTGTACAGCTGGGCTGCGATATCTGTACCTTTTGGTCCAACACATCAAATGACAATAAACTCCTAATTAGTCGCCCATTTACGACATGTTTCTTAGGGGGCAGTGGTAAATTTTAACCCCCCCCCCCCCCTTTTCCCCCATGGGACCCTGGAAACTACACGAATAGATAGACTTTGAACAAAGAAGATAAATCACCGAAATAACTACTCCAGACTCTAACAGACTGAACAATCGATCTGGTGACATTGGGACAACCTCATGTCCTTTAGTAGTTACAATTACCATCTTTCTGTAGTTTATAAACGTAGTTAACAACCCTAGTTAACAGCTAGAGTTAACAAAGCTAAGGACTTTTAAAACACAACAAAAAAGAGAATAGCACACACAGAGGCTAAGATACTGACATCAAAAGCTGTATTACAAAAGATATTAAATAAATAAAATAAAAAAATAAAAACCTTACGCCATCGAGGGAAAAAAAAAATCAATCAAATTACTTAGCTCCGACTTGCAAAGGGCTATTACAGGAAATAAACGCGAAGACGGGAGGGGGAAAAAAATCTTTAATAGTCCTTCATTTCATAAAATTTCTTGACATCAAAATTTAATCAGCCTGAGATAGTAATTTTGAGTGTCGTTTGTCTTTTGCGAAATTGTAACAACGATTTCTCGCGAGGCTGCCGAGTTGCTTGGGATTTTAGATAATTAAACATGAAATTTGCCTAGCTTACCTGGCTATGTCGGTTTCTTTGAGGGGTCCCGGATATCAATTCTTCCACATTTAAAAGGAAGAACAAGGAATCTATGTAATTGGTTCTTGTGGGGCTTGTGGTGGAGGGGAAAGGAGGGAGAGGGATGTGGAAGGCAGCTGAGGAAATTGCGCGTTTGTGATAACTAGTCTTAGTTTATCAGTCAAACACAATTATCTGGGTAGAGGAAATTATGGTCTGTTTAATTACATAGCGACAGTCGGGTTAGGAAACGTGACGTAGCTGGAATGGATTGATGGATGAGTGTCTGTGAGTGGATGGGCGTGGGAATGGATGGGTGTGTGAGTGGATGGGTGTGTGAGTGGATGGGCGTGTGAGTAGCTGGATGTGTCAGCTGATCGGTGTGTGAATGGATGGGTGTGTGAGTGGATCAGTGTGTGGGTGGATGGGTGTGTGAATGGATGGGTGTGTGAGTGGATCAGTGTGTGAGTTGATGGGCGTGTGAGTAGATGGGTGTGTAAGTGGCTTGGTGTGTCAGGGGATCGGTGTGTGAGTGGATGAGCGTGTGAGTGGATGGGTGTGTGCGTGGATGGGTGTGTGAGTGGATGGGTGTGTGAGTGGATGGGTGTGTGCGTGGATGGGTGTGTGAGTGGATGGGTGTGTGCGTGGATGGGGTGTGTGAGTGGATGGGTGTGGTGAGTGGATGGGTGTGTGTGCGTGGATGGGTGTGTGAGTGGATGGGTGTGTGAGTGGATGGGTGTGTGCGTGGATGGGTGTGTGAGTGGATGGGTGTGTGAGTGGATGGGTGTGTGAGTGGATGGGTGTGTGCGTGGATGGGTGTGTGAGTGGATGGGTGTGTGAGTGGATGGGCGTGTGAGTGGATGGGTGTGTGAGTGGATGGGTGTGTGCGTGGATGGGTGTGTGCGTGGATGGGTGTGTGAGTGGATGGGTGTGTGCGTGGATGGGTGTGTGAGTGGATGGGTGTGTGAGTGGATGGGTGTGTGCGTGGATGGGTGTGTGCGTGGATGGGTGTGTGAGTAGCTGGATGTGACAGCGGATCTGTGTGTGAGTGAATCAGTGTGTGGGTGGATGGGTTGATGAGTGAGTGGGTGGATGTGTGGTGAGTGAGCACACTGATATGGAACTGGATGGTCCTGTGCGTGTAAACGTTTCTGAATAATTTATTTGGAAGTGTGATTGTGAATAGTTGTGTAGAATAGTGGATGAGTACGTGCGCGCGCGCGCGCACGTGTGTGTATATATAAATATACTCCCACTACAACAATGTACGTGC